TTTATATATATATATATATATAAACACATATATACATATACACATAAATATACATATATATATATATATATATATATATATGTATATTTATGTGTATATGTATATATGTGTTTATATATATATATATATATATATAAAAAAACCCATACATATATATGTATGTATAAAATAGAATCACAGAATTCCGGGTTGGAACAGACCTCAAGAACCATCGCCCAACCTTTCTTGGCACAAGCACAGTCTAGACAAGATTGGCCCAGCACCCTGTGCAGCTGAATCTTAGAAGTGCCCAGTGTTGGGGGACCCACCACCTCGCTGGGGACATTATTCCAGTGGCTGATTGTTCTCAATGTGAAACATTTTCTTCTTGTGTCCAACCAGAATCTCCCCAGGAGTAACTCACATCTATCATCCCTTGTCTTTTCCATGGGACTCCTAAGCAGAGAGTCTCCATCTTGTTTGTAGCCACCCTTTAAGCACTGGAACACGGTGAGAAGGTCTCCCCTAAGCCTTCTCTTCTCCAGGCTGAACAAACCCAGTTCTCTCAGCCTTTCCTCACAGGACAGGCTGCCCAGCCCCTTGATCATCTTTCTGGCCCTTCTCTGGACTCACTCCAGCCTGGCCACATCTTTTTTGTGTGCTGGGGACCAAAACTGAACACAGTATTCCAGGTGTGGCCTGACAAGCGCTGAGTATAGGGGGATAATGACTTCTTTATCTCTGCTGGTGATGCCCTTGTTAATGCAGCCCAGCAGCCTGTTGGCACAGCAGCACGCTGGTCACTCATGTGGAGCTTGTTGTCCACCAGGACCCCCAGGTTCCTTTCCAGAGCTGCTCCCCAGCCAGGTAGATCGCAGCCTGTGCTGCACGCCTGCATGATTTTTTCCCAGGTGCAAGACCGTACACTTGTCCTCCTTGGACTTCCTAAGGCCCTTGTTAGCCCCCTCTTCCAGCCTGTCCAGGTCTTCCCGCAGGGTGGCTCTCCCTTCCCAAGTGCCCACGTACCCACTCAGTTTGGCATCACCAGCAAACTTCATCAGGGTACACCTGGTCCCATCACCCACATCACTTACACAGATATTAAACAGCGTTGGGCCCAGTATCGATCCCTGGGGACCCACTTGTGACAGGTTGCCAGTCTGAAAAGGAGCCATTTCCCACCACCCTCTGGGTGCAGCCTGTCAGACAGTTCCCCCCACTGCACAGACCACTTGTCCAGACCGTAACACATCAGCTTCTCTAGGAGGAGGCAGTGGGGAACTGTACTGATCCTTCCCCCTTCCAAGGAGAAAGCCTTGGAGAAATCCAGGTAGACAATGTCCACTACTTGTCCCACATCAACCAAGCAGGTCACTTTGTCATAGAAGGTGATCGAGTTTGTCATGCACAGTTTTCCCTTGGTGAATCCATGCTGGCTTTTCCCAATCACATGCTTCATTTGACTTGGGATAACCCCCAGGAGTTTGCTCCATAACCTTCCCAGGGACTGAAGTAAGACTGATGGACTTACAATTTCCTGGATCCTCCTTTAAGCCCTTCTTGTAAGTGGGGGTGATATTAGCCTTTTTCCAGTCTTCTAGGACATCCCTCAATCTCCATGACATGATGGAGAATGGCCTCACAATGCCATCAGCCAGCTCTCTCAACACCCTCGGGTAGATAACGTCAGGGCCCATTGATTTGTAGGGGTCAGGCTCCTGTAATAGCTCACATACCAACTTCTCCTTCACTGACAGTGCATCCGTATTTGCATCAACATGGAATTTTGTTCCCAAGGCCTGTGGCCCAACAGTGCTGGTAAAGACAGAGGTGAAGAAGATGTTGAGAGCGTTTTTAGTGTTGTTGCTGACTAATTAACTTCCTTTGTTTAACAGTGGGCCAGTATCTTCCTTCTGTTTCAGTGTGATGTTTACATACCCGAAGAACCCCTTATTATAGTTTTTTGACATTCCTGGCCAATTTCAACACAAGCTGAGCTTTCGCTTTTCTAACTGCATCTCTGCAGCACACCCTGGCAATGCCCTTTTAGTTCTCAATGGGTATTTGTCCACTTCTCCATCTCTGGTACACTTCTCTTTTAGTTTTGAGCGGACTCAGAAGCTCACAGTTAAGCCAAGGGGCTCTCTTGCACCGCGTACTTCACTTACCTTTGAAGAGGATGCACAATTTTTGTGCCTCCAGGCGAGTGTTCTTGAAAAACTCCCAGCACTCATGAGCTCCTTTATCCTCCATGGGAGCTTCCCAAAGAATTCTTCCCAGCTGAGCTCTGAGTGAGCTGAAATTTGCTCTTCTAAATCTAAAACCTTTATCTTAGTACTAACCTTCAGTGTGCTCAGCAGGGTCCCAAATCCACAACATCGTGATCACTGCAGCCAAGGCCATTACTAACCGAGATATTACAAAGCAGGTCTTCTGGGTTTGTGAGCAGCAAGTCCACCAATGCCTCATTCCCGGTTGGCACATCTAACATTTGTATGAAGAAACTGTCCTCTACCCATCCCAGGAATTTGATGGACGACATGTGAGCTGCTGTATCTGTCCTTCCAGCAAATGACTGGGTGGTTGAAGTCATCCATAAGACCCAGGTTCTGTTGACCTGAAGCTTGCTTAAGTGACCCATATATTGCTTCATTGACCTTACAGTCTTGGTTTGGAGGTCGGTAGCAGATGTTTACTGTAAGATTCCCCTTCGGGACGACCCCTCTGATCTTCACCCAGAGGCATTCAGTAGGGTTTCCACAATTGCTGCAGTTGACTTCTATACATTCAAGGTTCTCCTTAACATAGAACATGACTTCTCCACCTCTTCTTCCCTGACTTTCTTTATGAAATAGCCTATAGCCATCCACCACAATCCTTCAGTCATGTGAGTTGTCCCACCATGTTTCAGTTATCTCTATGATATCATAAATTTCGGACTGGGCAAAGAACTCCAGTTCCTCCTCTTTCTTCCCCAGGCCACATTTATATATAAAAGAAGTGTACGAAAAAAAAATTATGAGACCCAGGGAGACAGGTGACAAAGAAACACTTTGAGAAAAATGCAGTGTGGTAAAATAATTTGAAGAAAAGGTCACAAAACAAGAAATAATTTCTCAATCAGAAGCACAGTAATCAGAGAGACCAAATTCCCAGTTGAAAATTATTCTATGATTCCATGGAAAAGGTCTGGTATAATCTAGCTACCTATAACTATCTGCTCTGTAACAGGCATTCAACCTAAGACCTTTCTCTGACAACTACACTCCAACTTCAGGCAAAGCAACTCAGTTGTTTCAAGGTGATCGTATATCTTGATTATCACAGAATCATGCAATGGTTGAGGTTGGAAGGGACCTCTAAAGATCACCCACTGCAACAGACCCTGTTAAGAACAGGTTCAACCACAGCAGGCTGCTCAGGGCCATGTCCAGCCAGGTTTTGAATAACTCCAAGGACAGAATCTTCACAATCTCTCTGGGTAACATGATCCAGCGTTTCACCACCATTACAGTAAAGATTTTTCCTCATGTTTAAAGGGAAGTTCCTGCACTGTGCCCATTGCAGACACAAGACACAGCCGAGAAGTATCTGGTTTCACCTTCTTTACTCTTGATATCACGTATTTCTACACAGTTGTAAGATTCTTCCTGAGCCTCTTCCCATGTGCCAGATGCTCCAATCCCTTCATCATCTTTATGGCCCTTTGGTGGACTCACTCCAGTATGCCCACATCTATCATACTGGGGAGCACAGAACTAGACCCAGAACGCCAGATGTGTCTCACCAGTGCTGAGTACGGGGGAGGAATCGCCTCCCTCAACCTGCTGGCAATACCCTGCCTCAGACCAGCATGCACACACAGCTGGCTCATGTTCAACTTATTGTCTTGTATTCTATTATTATTCTATTATAATATTCTATTTTATATTATTCAAAATTACCTTTCTTCCCTGAGGTTTCTTGAATAATACACTTGAGTTTAAGACCCTCTCAAAGATTAAAAAAAGAGGGAGAATCAGTAAACTGCTGACATATGGTCATCAGCATTCTTTCTTCTGCAAATTACTGGGTGTGGCTGGGATTGAGTTAACTTTCCCCACAGCCGCCGGTATAGTGCTGTGCTTTGCATTTTTGGCTGAAACGGGGTGGGTAACACAGCAACTTTTTGACTGTAGCTGAAGAGTGTTCTCACAGCATCATAGGCTGTGGCTGGGCAAGAGGTTGGGAGGGGGCACAGCCAGGAGAGCTGATCCAAACTCACCAAAGGGATATTCCATACCAAATAACGTCACGCTCAGCAATAAAAGGTGAGGGTGAGGAGGCAGGGAGGGCACACACACAGGTGACCATTCTTGGTTATGCCATTTGTCTTCCAAAGCAGCTGCTACATATACTGAGGATCTGCTTCCCTGGAAGTGGCTGGACATATGTCTGCTGATGGGAAGTACTGGATAAATTCTACTTTTTGCTTTGCTTCGATGAATGGCTTTTGCTTTACTTATTAAACTATATTTATCTCAAGCTTTTCCACCGTATTTTCTCCCCTGTCCTGCTGAAGAGGAGGAGTAAGAGAGCAACTGGGTGGGGGTTTGGCAACCAGCCAAGGTCAATATACCAAATACAAATATGTCCAAATAATGATGACCATATAATATGTATCAAAATCACTGCTAACTGAGTAAGTGTCTAGTCAACGGTTTTGTTGATTTTTTTTTTTTTCCCCCACATAAAATGATTGAGAAACGCTTTGCCTATCTATACTCTTTATTTTTAAATTCAAAGGTCTGACCACTTCATTAGGTCTCTCTCACAAGGAATATGTCTCTATGAACACTTAGGTTACACCTACGCTGAAGGATAAACAGAATTTTCTGGTGAACTACATCATACCTTTATTTTACCTTTGTGTCTCTTCCTTCCTGCAAACATATGCAGGGAAATCATTTAGCATCCATCTGGAATGCTCAAAGAGTACTTTAATAATTTTAGAATGATTGTTTTGGCATCCTTGATTTCCCCTCTGTTGATTTTTCTCTAATTTTTTACCTTACTTCAGACCCGTTATTTCCAGGTGTAAAGTTCATTTCTGCAGCCTTTCTGGCCCTTTTTCCTTCAGCTGTGGCCTGTGCCCACAGAGCTTTGTGTCTTCTACAGACGGCCACCAGATGGAGGCCCTTGACTTCAAGAACCTGGTGTCTGTCGGTCGAAAGGCATACCAAGAATTTTGGTTAGCCGGAAACTCTGGATTTTAACCTGGCTGGAAATCTAAAGAGTTTCAGAAACAGAGCCAACAGGGACTTGTGCTATCCTCCTGGGCCACTGAAGCTCTCAGTTGTATTGACAATGTCAGGACAAAGAGCAAACTCTCCCTGGTACCCACCTATGCTAATGATTTGACCCAGTATCTGGATCTCACAGCAGGAAGAAAGGAAGATAGGAACAGGATACTACAGATACACATTTCTAATGCCTGGACAGTATTGCAGTATCTGGTTCTAGAAGAGCAAGAGTGATGCTGCAGTTCTGTGTGCCTGCCAGAAGTGCAGGCTGCCAGAACCACAGAAAAGGACCAGGAAGCAGGAATTAACAGAAGGGGCAATCTACGATGTACCAGCCTTCTCCCTCAGTACATCTGCACCTATTTTCTGGGTGCTTCCTTAGTATCAGTGATGTTTTTACATACCATTCCTGAAGCTGGAAATACATCACTTATGCTCCCATTAGCAATCCACTCTACTGTAACTCGTCCATACGTTCCTATTAAACGTTCAATATTCAAGGTGATTAAGCTGTCCTGTTCCATTTCTTCAACTTGCTTAAATAAAGAGCTCTGGAAAACATAAAGTGGCAGAATCATAACATTATTTTCTTATAAAGAAAAGTTTCTTTAGGGATCTGGGTATTCAGTGGGGGCCAGTCTACCATTAAGTGCCTAAATACGTGTTCTTTGACTAAATTTATATGTCCTAATTTTCACATGTACTCAATACTCCCAGATTTCATGGATGGAACAGTTTAAAATGTCAGGCCTCTTTATCCTGAGGCAAAACAAACCAAATGATTTTTATTTAGGTTTTTTGTTTTGTTTTGTTTTGGTTTTTTTCCACAATATTTTCTGTCCAAATTAATTGAAACAGATAACAAGCGGACCTTCCAAAGTGAAATATTTTTGCTGCCGTTATTTTACTGTTATTCACCCTCCTCACACAAGTCCAGACGCAATGTTTCATTTCAGTAACGACTCCTGTATTTTATATCTTCAGTAAGTATCTACTGTAGCCTTCTCTAGATAACTTCCGCAGTGTCTGATGATTTAAGAATTAACCACTCCAAATAATACCTTCAGTCTGACATTTTTTTCCAAATGAATTATTTTGTTCTGGCAGACTGGCTCATCTTCTGACATAACCCAATTTATATCTTTTTCAGGGAAAAAGGACCTTCAGATCTGTTTACTTAACTCCCTTGATTAACCAACCAGTAGCAACTCTATGATGATATCATATATGTCATCTGAAAACTGAATTTTTAGGTTGTTGCAAAACCAAACTGATAAATTTATGTGTTAATCTAAATGTAAGTGGATTATAAAAATCTCACAATAGGGACAGACTGTGGAACTGATTTTCCATCACCTTGTGTTCTGTATAATCACACAGCAAAGGCAAATAGATGTTAAAAAGCTTCTAACTCAGGTTGTTACAAGACTTTAGAAAAACAATCCTGTCACTCCAATTTACAGTTTTAGTATGCTTGTATTCCATTATTTGGAAATTATATATATACATATTTTAATGATTTACCTTAGAAGTTTTACCTGAGCAAATGCAATGACTCCATAGGCATTGTCATTGGAAGGAATAATGATGTTAACAAAACCATGAACACCAATCTCTGCACCTCCCTTAGGGTTTTTCAACCACACTTTGAAGCATTCTTCCTCCTCTGGGATGGTGTCATCCAGGATGTTGACTGCTATCACAGCTTCCATGTCCCCAGGCTCAAATATCAATTCACCTGAACTAGCATAAAAACACACAAATCAAGTAATTATAAACTGAGGATAGTTGATTAATGAACTTTGAAAGGACTGCTGTAAATTTTATGAGCATTTTTGGAGCTGGAATTATTGTTTATATTCCTGAGGAAGGGAATATAAAGAATATATTTGTGTTAGGTTGTTGGGGGTTTTTTTTAATTACAATAGATCACAGAGTAACTGAAATTAATCATGATAGTAATTTAATTTTTCCTGAATAAAAAACTCACGTCATGACTGCAAGTCCTTTCTTGCCATGTTTTAAAGCCAGTTGTGAGGCTGTTTGTCTTGAGGTTATCTTAAACCTACTTGTGAAAAATTATCTTCAGTGTTAATAAGCACACCCCACACAGAAGAATGTAATGCTCTCCACTGTCACAAAACCAGTTATCACAGAAAGAGAAATACAAGAGCTGGGAGAAAACTATATAAAACAATAAAACCTACCTAGGTATAAAATCTGACTGGTTGGAGATAGTGGTCAGCTCATAAATCTGTGAGTTGGACTCTATGGACAGAGCAATCAAGCTCTTGCTGGAGTTCAGAGACCTTGCAGTAGCTGAGGTGATATGATCCGCATATGGGGCTTCCAGCACCACAGAGAACCGGTTCCCTTCCGAGTTCCAAGCATACAGTGATGTTGTGTCCTCACCAGACAGGAGGATGTGAACTACATTGAGCAAGGATGAGGAAAAATAAAATAAATTCCATGATACATTAAAAATTTCTCCTTCTGATGCCACAAATGTCCTCAGTAGTCCAATGATTACAGCAGCTTTCAAAGTCTGATAAACTAACACCAAAAAAGAGCACAAATATTTCTGCAATGCCAGTGTTATAAACTAGGATTTGAACAAATGTTGTAATTTAAGTCTTACCTAAACCTGAAGGAGGCATGAAAACATGGATGTTTCTTACAGCGCAGACTGGAAGACTCTGAAAGTGTCTAAAGGTAGACTGCCCTGTCTCCCAGATTAAAATTTCAGAAGAATTTCCAGATTCTACAAAGGAGCAAAATGACAAAAATTACATTATTTATCTGCCTGTTAAACTGCACACTTGGTGGCCATTCAAAAGTCAGAATTTGGCAGCTTTAATTACGACGTGAGACCAATTTTCATATTTTCCTTTGTACTTGGTGCACAACTCCACAGTATGACTGATCTTCACGGGATGATTCATCCGCTGACATCAAGGGCTTTTCTGCACACAGTCACATATAAGAAGGCTGATTGCCAGCATTCAACAGCCAATTGCAAAGAAACCTACAGACTGTAACTTTTACATAGACATAGTCATAAAACAATGCCTAAAATGTCATGCTTGCAATAAAAAACACATGTACTTTGCTGACCAATGATCTTTGCATATCACAAAGCTCAGGAAAGCTTAGAAAGGGTGCAGACAGCAGCTAGATGAATAGAGCTATTATTTCTTACTGCTCTTGGGAAAATTTTTCATTAGTTTCATAAGTATTTGAGAAAAACCACAATACTTTTATTTTCTGAGGGACCTAAAACAGAGACTACTTTGATAAAATGCTTACCAGTGAATTGTCACTCCCCAGTTGGACTCTAATCCCTATCTAAACACCTTTACCCCAAATGCCTTTCCTACCAAACAAGCCAGCATATACTTAACAAACTCAGTGTCTGTCTTCTAAATACCTTTTGAAATAATTAAATATATATCAGATCCAGAAATCCAGGCCTCCATGAGTTTTATTTCTTTTTCTGGCAATTGATGAAGATTCCTAAACTCGTTATTCAACCACTGGTACAAGAGCATGTTCTGGCTGGTGTTTGACAAAGAAACTAATAGGTACATAACACCTCCTCTAGGAAACAAGACTACATTCAGAGCTCCGAAAACTGGAAGTTGATGATGCAGCACAAATATGTCTTTATTCCAGTGGTAAACCTGTGGAAATACGAAAATTCTTTTTCATTATACATTCATAATTGACACCAAGAGAAGATAAATTGTTATGATGAAAAACTGGGAAGACTTATAGTGAACCGAATTCCTTATTTCTAAGGTGGACCCTACATTAAGGTAGATGCACACTGGTAAGTAACTACCTTACTGCAAGCAGCTATGCCTGTTCTTAGGATTAATAGGTTTATGGTCAGAATTTATTTCTGTTCTTATAGCTGTTTTATATATTAGATTTCAAATCAGAAATAACACTATCAATAAAACCAAATCAAATGTAAATTATATGTAATTGTAGAGAGTACTGCTATATTTAAACAAGTCTAGAATTTGAAGTCTTATAAATCCATAACAGAAACGTAAGTAATTTTTCAGAAATATATACTTAGGTATTTTTATATTCATATTTCAAACTCAACACTAACCAAACTGCCCACATCAAAGCCAGGAAAGAGAAGTATATTCTTACCTGGATGGAACTGGAACTGGTGGTGGGACTCACAAAAATCAAATAGTCTTCTTCATCTACAGCAAAGTGTTTCACATGTCTGGTATCCAGAAGAGAAAGAGTCTGTATCTGTGAGGGAAATATTACAATTGTGTTTGGAAGTCACTTCAAAGTTTATATATATATATATATATATATATACACATATATATATATATATATATATATATACACATATATATATATATATATATGTATGTATGCACATATTTTTAAAAACTGCAAAATTGCATATAAAAGTGCATATAAAAATATAAAATTACATATATGTAATTCTACAATTTTAAAAATATGTGTATATATATATGTGGGGTTAATTTAGAAAATTAATATAACTAATCATATATTGTTCAGAAGATGTTCTATGACTTGATTGCTCTGCAATTTCTTTCCTCACTTGCCAGGTCATTTTTCCCCACCCCCAAAATATGAATGTACATCAGTAACAACCAGCTGTAAAAACTTACATCACTTAAGTCATGCAGGGTGTTAGGGCCCCAAAGTAGCCAAGCACAGAGTGCTCTTTTCCTAAAACACTGCTGGACTGCAGAGCATCCCAAGGTCCTTTCCAACCCCATTATTTTATGATTTTATCAAGTAAAACAGATTTACCTTCACCAGTCTGCGCCCAGGCATGAATGCATACACAGTGTTGTTGGAAGCTCCCTGTGTGGCTCCTCCGTGAGTAATCACGAGGTAGGGAGAGGCACGGATTTGGAAAGACACACAGCTCTTAGGATTCCACATACTGAAATTCTGAGAGAGGAATAAAGAAGTAGAACTGAGACTTAAATTCTTTGCTAAGTAGCATGCCTGGTGTTTGCAAGCAAACATTTACCTCAACAGGAACAAAAACTCCTTTCCACTGGTAGACAGTAGAAAACATAGCTGGAGGCATACGCAACAGAACACCATACAGGATCTCTGCTGATGTAAAGAAACACCAGCTAGACGCTGATTCTTCCACAAAACTTTGCAAGACAGACAGGACACCAATATTGCCCCCTGCAATATAGCAAAAGAAAGTATTATTTATTCTTGAGGTCTTTTTCAATGCCATTTGCATGATTTACTTGCCACAGCCAGACACAGTATCAGAAATGTTGAAGTTGTCTCTAAATAGTTGGTATAATGTTACAGAACTGAGGATGTAATGAGAGTTAAGCAATAAATGTATTCTTCATAAATTACGGTTGCATATGGAATACGCATAGGCAATTTGAGTCTGACTGATTCAGTTTGGAATTTAGCTAGTGAGAAAATTAGCTAGATAGCAAGTAGTGAAAAAAGTGACAACGAACCTAAAAAATGTATGCGTTTGTCCTCCTTCTCGCCATCACCACAACAAGCAGTCCTGGCACAAAGATTCTTAAACTGCCTAAGCTGTTTGACTGGCTTTACAGAAAAAAGCATTGTGCTGTCAGAACTAAACTCTGTCAGTTAGTCAGAGCTAAACCCCCAATCCCACACACAGATCAGAGGAGCTGCTGAGCCAGACAGGGTTATTCACCCCTGCTCAAAATCAGGTATTTCCTTTTTTGACTTGTTAGTTTCAGTCTGGGTTAGTGAGCAGCTGGTAGTGACCAGTATTGGAATACAAACTGCTTAGCATGGGAACGGGAACAAGCAGGCAGAGATGGAAGGATATCCTCCTTCAGTGGCAGCGCTAGCTTGGACCAGTTTAAAGCGCTCACGAAATCACAGCCTGAGACTCTCACAAATCCATCTCAGCTGGCACACTGGGGATATGATAGAAAATGTGGTGACATTTTTTCATTTTTTCAAGGCTTTGTCAGGCACAGGTAAAGTGTGTCTCTTATACTGTGTTAGAAAAGTCCGAAGTTAGAAGTAGTAAAGACCATATTCTAGGTTTTTTTTTTTAAAAAAAAAAAAAAAAAAAAAAAAGTCTAGTGACAATAATGTTCATATTAGCAGGAAGATGATTATTGAAACTGGCAGAAGTGGCTGATGACAAGGTGCCTCTTAAGTAGCTGAGCTCAGTTCTAATGAGTCGTGACATGCTTAGAAAAATATTAATTAATGTGATGAAGTCTGAATACATGAATTTATATTCCAAAGTTACATCTCCTGTATCTTTGGCTAGTCTCTTGCTATCTCCACTCTGACAAAAGCAGCGGGCACTCTCTATGAAGTGAACGTACTGATGCCAAACGCGGTATCCGACAACGTCTCCCACTCAACACTCACAGACACGTTGAGACCATTACTCCGTGAAACTTTCAAATAAATCGTTGTGTTGGCTTCTTCAATTATGAGGAAATTTGTCCTAAATGTGAGAGTTGTGAAAATAAAGACAAAATGTATTATTTTTATAGTATAAGATACTTATGGTAAAATTCCAGCGCAGAATATACAACAGAAATAAAAAGAAAACATGAAGAATTGTTTTTTCTATCTGACAGACTGATAGGTACATTAATTAAGGTTATCCAGTGCTTCTTACCACAAGACTTTAGCAAAATCATAGGAAATTAAAAAAAAATCCTGAACCAGCCTGAAATTTAACACACCAGCTGTATGACTTAAGCTGAATGATTTTTGAAAATGTCATTCCATATGGTTCATTTGCTTCTGAAAAACAGCCCTGAGTGAAAGTGTATTTTACACAAGCTTAAAAACAAAAATAAATTACTAAATGTATGACTCCTTGGGCCCTGATTGAGGTTTGGAGCTCTTCACATGGGTTACTATTAGTGGAACGTTAAGGGACTGATGAAGTACTGTTTTGTGAAAAAATCCATAGAGAAATTGACATGTCTAATGATGACTCGTCCATTTTAAGTGTTTTTCTGTTTGGGTTTTTTGGTTGTTTTTTTTTTTTTTTTTTGTATAGCAGTAACAGCATTTGACAGATAGTGTACTTTTCAAAATTACAAATGACAATCGGATTGCTGAATTTCTTTAAAGGGATTCATCAAAAACAAAAGTGTAGAGAGACACCATCTGTACTGAATATGAAAAAGTTCCTTTTGACTGAATCAGTGTTTAGTACCTATTTGTAACTGGATAGATGCTGAAGAGCCCTAGTGGCGCCTGGTTCTGTAATACTGTAATCATAGTTTGCACTCTTGTGCCTAGTCTGGCTCCTCCAGTTGGATTGAACAGGGTGACAATAAAGTGCTCATCCATTTCGGGTTCTTCATCCAGTATCGCAGTAATATGCAGTGTCTGACAAGAAAACAAGCACAGAATGTTGTTGAGACTCGGAAGCTAACGATGACACCACCCTGTTTCCACTCTTTCACTGCACACCTTTGGACAGCACAGAAGGAGAACAGCAGTGCTTGAAACTGGAGAGGACAGAAGTGAGGCAAGGAGAGTTCAGGCTGAGGTTCTAAAGTCACCCATCTGGTGACCTTCATTGGTGCAACATTAAGATGAGCATACCTTTTTTTTTTTTTTTTTTCCCCCCTCTCTTCTCCTAAGACCCCCTGAAATGTAATAGTTTGTAATCTTTTTTCACGCTTTGGTTCTCTACTTATTCCACGCATTCTTTGGTAATTCATAGTCTCCGTGCAGCTACCTGATCCCCTCAGCTCAGTCAAGTTGGTTTTAATTTACTTGGGCTGGCAGCTAAACTAGCTCCAGGCAACAGGGTAATTCCACTACTGTGATGGGAAGAAAGAAGGAAAAAAGGCAAGAACAGAGGGATATTTTGAAATATTCTCTCTTCTTGATGCTTCCTTCCCTCTACTGCACCACTGTGGATGAGAATAGGACCCTCTCAGGGTGGTTTCAAATTAGCAGAGAATTATCTAGAAAGAGGTAGGTGTTTTCACTATCATTTGGGGCTCACTGTCATACTTCCAACTGCCCAAACTGGCAAAAGTTACAGAGGTGCACATTGCTTTGCTATAGGAAAAAAAAAAAAAATAAGGAGGATCTGGAACTCAGCTGGAGCTTACAATCTTTTAGATGCCTGATTACTTCTACAATAAACCAGATTCAGACACTGTTTTAAGAAGTCTTTGACTTCCTGCAGATCTGCTACACTAGCCATCAGTGTAGTTCCAAATGCACATCGAGTTTGGAAATTGAAAATCAGTGTTTCCTGAAATGTTTGTTTCAGATTCTACCCCACTAGCCATAATATGGTAACCTGTTACCGAGCCTAGCTTCACTGACAAAATAAAATAAAAATATATTTTAAACTAAAAATAATAATAAAAAATAAAATAAAATAAAATAAAATAAAATAAAATAAAATAAAATAAAATAAAATAAAATAAAATAAAATAAAAACAAAATAAAATAAAGACGCTTCCATTAAACTTCAGAAGGGTCAGGATATCACAAACTTAAGCTAGATCATTTTCTAGCTGATATTCTTGCGGGGACACTACAGAGTGAGCTTAATACTCCCAGAAGAATAAGTCATTTTCTATTCCTAAGCCTCTGAGAGCTGTTCACTTTCTGCATCCGTTACAGCACACTCTGTTCAGTTCAGACCAGCTGAAGCATCTCATTACAAAATGGGATTTTTACTTCAACCTTAACTATTCATGCTTGTAAATTATCACTTCATTTTGAAGTCTGTGTTTCAGCTACATGATGAATACATATAAAGAAATGTCCCCATCCTAACAGAAACATTATATAACCATTATATTATTTTCACTTTACCTCAACTGTTACAAAGAGAGAAATACCTACAGAAAAGCACATTTAATTTTTATGCACTCCCACAACTCAATTTGTTCTGAAAATAAAGGAAAACATAAGAAAAAAAATAAATGCAAGAAAAGACACAGACATTTCTGAAATCTTTCAAAATTTCAAAAAAGCTTTCTTCACTTCTTGGGTAATAACTATCATATTACCTTGAATCTGACTCCCTCTTCCAGCACAATATATCCTTGAGAAGGGGTCAAATCCACTGATGGCTCTGAAGAATTAATTTCACTTACAAGATACTGAACAGTCACGGTGCCAAATATCCCCTGAGGAGGTTCTCTAATAATATTTAATACTGCAACACTTTCCATCAAATGGAGAGCTGTTTGCTCTCTTAGGAAGAAGTGATCGCTGTTATTGAAAGACAAAACTCCATGGCCATCATCATTGGCAAGTATAGTAATTGTGGCTTTTGAGAAATAAATAATGGAAATATTCTTTATTAACATAGTAAAATAAAATTGTACATATATACAAAAAAACCCCATATAAACACAAATCCATTCTTCCTTTTGTGTATATATATAATGCTTTTACATCCATGATTATTACTCGAAGAGAGTATGTAAGTATTTTACTTTATCTAGGAAGATTACTAGACAGAAAGTATCTAGACCCTCTTACTAAAAAGCTCACTTTTGCAAGTTTTGATTCCTTATTTTACATATTAACTTGTTAATTGAATAGATTTCATAGGGATGTTTAAGAACCTTCCAAACGAGTATAAACATCTACCGTAGCAGGAAAATGGCGTTTTCTGAAATATGATTATTCAGAAGAATGAAATTAAAATGACTGTCACACAGTTCCAAAGAATGAGAACATCAAAACTTAAGTTTTACCTGTTGCATTTTCCCCTAATTCCAGTCCCAGAGAGGGATTTGTTAGAATTAACTGGAACTTCTCATCACCTTCAGGAATATCATCATCAAAAATCATAACAACAACGGATTTATTCCTTTCTCCATCAGCAAAAAAAAGAGTCTAGTGTTGAAACACAGAAAGCATTGAATACTTAACAGCTGTTAATACACACAGAATTTTTCAACTAAGTTAAACAGAATTGTCTTAAATAGGAAGGAAAAAGAGGAAAGAAGAGCTATGATCTTGATGTCCCTTGTAAATCGATTGAAACAGAAGTAAAAAAGTTTAGCACATTGCAGAATGAGGATGAGCAAGAGCAATTTACTTCAGAAGTTCTGCTGTAAAAAATATGAAACCTTCTATGAAATAGTATATGCTCTTTTCTACACAAAATTGTCTTTGAGATGTCTGATATTTTACAACTGTCTAATATTTTACAAATACTTCAGTATTTAAAAAGAAATGAAAAGACGATGACTAATTTTATCTCACTCTATTCAGATGACCAAAGAAACTGAAACAAGTTGAAAAAATCTAGCTTCATTACCGATCATTCTGCAGAATACACAGGGGACATTCTATTGAGGAAGTTGAAGGAATGAAAAGGACTAGATTTAGAATTTGCTCTTACCCTTGAGGTCACACTAAAATCCAAACCCAGCTGTGCCTCCAAATTTTGGGCATAAAAAAACACAGAGACATTGCCATACGATCCCCTGTTTCGGTATGCCACTATTGTCAGGTTCCCGTGAGATTCGTTGACTTCAAAACTAAAACAAAAAGCAAGAAAAATTCTCAGTGCTCTTTTGATTTAGATGGTACGTAGTTGCTATATTTTCACTTCAAATCATTCCCTCTGCTTTATAAGAACAAGGCATCTTTACAGTACCAACATCATTACAATTGCTTAATACAACCTTTTTACCTTTGTTTCTTATCTACATGGAATTAAGCTATAGGAAGTTGTGCTTTTTTCCTGCTTATTAGTGGCAGATTAAGCCTGCCCATGTTCATGGATGCCTTCTTCCTAGCTCCTGGAAATTAATCAGAGAAAAAGATGTGGGAGATGCCAGGGGATGCTTCCATGGATGTGGAGGCCTGGAAAACTGGATGGAGGCTGGAGAAGTGAGGCAAGTTCACAATATAAAAGGACAGGAGTGAAAGTAAATACACAGTAGCCAAAGATTTCTGAATAAACATACTGTAAATGTTGCTTTTCAGTGTCGGAATTATCTTACACTTTCCAGTTCTACTTAACTGAATGATGCTTTGCCATCTCAAAGATCTGGACCTATTTCTAATAGGAATTTTACTGTTAACTGAAAATTAATATAATTGGGCAACCTCAATCACTAACTGGCACAGTGAGTTCTTCAAGAAGACAAGACTTACTTGGTACTTTCCCATTCTATTACTCCGCTTACTCCATCATTAGCATCAATAATGATTTGAGAAGCTAAACCTTCCACATCTAAAATAGAAAACAGAAGGAGAAAAATGAGATAACAATAAAGTCCCTCTTCAGGATTTTTGAGAATAACAGAAGCATTTCTTAAATATCTACTAATTTTGTACAAGAAATACATCAATTTCTGTTTCCAAAATGTGGAAGAGAAAATGGTAGTGGGCAAGATAATTGGAAAAGCTCAAAGAAAAAAAAATCTGTCCTTACTACCTTGCTATGTGAACGGCAACACTGTGCCTTGAATTAGCACTGTTACATTTATTAATGCATACAAAAAAAGACTAAAGAAAATTTAGACAGCAAATCATAGCACAGAAAAATTAGGAAATACCAAAAGCAAGATTTGTCATGGGATCTTAATTTATCTTCACTCTGTGTGTTTATTATGATGACATTCAACATTCTGCAGACTGTGCCATTCTGAATAGGGGAGGGAAAATAAGTAAGAAAGAATAAATGATGCAATATTTCATCTCCTATTCATGTTTCAGTGCCCGATCATAAACCTTACTTGCACACACCCCAGATTCTGCTACAGATACAGAATTATTGATTTCTTTTTAGGCTCTTTATTAGTACTTTATTATATGCAGTACTGCAATATTCTGTTGCTTCATAAAGATGTATCTTCACAATAACTCTGAAAGATTACTGTATGAATTGCACTGTGAAACACTGAATAGATTAATGCCAGAAATGTCCACTAATTTCAGAGACCAGAACCTGGCAGTCAGAACTTGATTCTTCTAAGGAAATAGTGCCTTAATTTGTTCAGACAACAGCACTGCATGCCTACCTTAATTTACATCAACTTACTTTTAATAAGACTTAAAAAGAAATGAAGGAAAGAATGACAATTTCTACAACCAAACTGACTTCACTGAGTCTGTAGTAAATATACTATATTTAGATCCATTGGAAAAACTTCTACCAATTCAGATAAAACTGAGTAAAAGTAAAAGGTCATTGTCATGAATCCAAAGTGATCACCATGAGGTAGTGATGGAAATCATCAGTAGCTGGAAAACCTCTACACAAACAACAGAAATGTTCTTGGGGTTTAGAAATCCAGGGGGAGTGATTACAGGCTCTTCAGCTGCACTCCTAACCTGCATTTTTCCCTTGTGTGTGAGTCAGATCAGTTCACCCAGGGTCTGTAAAACTTCACTTTCAACATCAGACCCCTTATTTCATGTCTGGCATCTTTCCCTGCCCCGATGCCCCCAGTCCTCCTTCCCCAGTTTAGATTTTTCTTGTATTGATTAAGTTTATTCTGTTTTCCTTCATTACTCTCAACTGTTGATCATTTTTTTTTCTTTTTGTTTTTTTTTTTAATTTCTTGCACTTTTGAGTCAGGCTCTTTCTTCCAGCTTTTCTAGAAGATGGGAGCAAGAGGAGCACGGAGAAAACAACACAATCATCTTTACCCTCGCTGTTTCTGCTGCTTATCAGTGAAACCTCCGATGAGAAATAAAGGTGACTTCAGTTCAGTGTGTTCAACTCTACGCCACAGACATACCAGACTCGCTCCAGATACTGCATGCCATTGGCCATGACAGGAACAGCATGTGCAATATATTCCAGATGTGCGGGGCTGACTGCATGTGCCTGTGTCATGTGTGGAACACCCTCTCTTGATATAAGACACTTCCTAGAAATACTTCAGGTATCTTGTATAGGCTATGGAATTGCTGGAGTTCTAATCCTAAACAAATGCACGGCACCAAGGGGGAGTTAAAGTGTCAATCATAACAAATGAAAAAATATCAAGGGGGGAAACAAGGTTAGAAAATAGTCTGATAACAGAATTTGTAGTGACATTTTTACAGTGACGACAGGTTTTTGCCTCATGGATTAAAACTATCATTTGTTCATCCTAAAGACATTTAACCCGATGCAGATATGACAGCAGGGTTCGACAGTCAGGATTCAAGAGACTGACAACCCGTTATGACAGAAGGTGAGACTATACAGCACTCAGCACAGTCTAGTACAGAAAAATCCTCTGTATTTATACGTTACTCTTCTTATGGTTTAGATTTTAGACCTGACTAATCACAGCTCAGTCTCTACAAATCAGCAATGAGTCTTGCAAGTTACCTTTCAATCTGTAACGAATTAACTCTGTCACTTCTATAGGCATGCAAAGAAAAGGGAAAAGAGTCAAAGAAGATGTTAGAAATAAGCAGTATAACTCTCTCCAGTACCACAGGATAATCCAACTGTCTTTAAAGCCAAAGGCAGATATGCTACTGAATTCAGAAGCAGAATGAAGAGCTAACTAAGCAAATGATAAATGAGATTTACTGGAAGAGTAGAAAAATCACAGGATATGGCTCCTAAAAGTAAATCTGATAAAGGGTAATATAAAGAGACTTTTAAAAGAGCGAACAAAGTAATCACATAAAGCAATTTTTTAGACAATTTTGTTTCCATTATGTGCTTGGAAATGAAAATCAGATTAACACACTCCCAATAAAACTTCTCAGATAATTGTGCTCTCCAACTGTTAATTACTAACTCCTCCATGAAAATTGCCTTATCATTTTTACAGAGCTTAAAAAAGTAAGCAGCAAGTGTAATAGTGAAAATGTTTGATATTCTACACTGTTTCTTTCAGAATACCCTGTCTTATACTGGCATAGTTGGCAAGAAAGTGGAATAATGAGTAATATAATCTGCATGCAATTTGTATAAAAGAAAATACAAAGATAATTCTGTATAAGTTGTTTTACCCAGCCTAGGAGGGGATGAAGTTGAATGATTCATGATGAGTTCCACTGCAGTTAAATTAACCAAGAAGAATTCTTGCACCTCTGGTACATCATCCTGCAAAACACAAATTCAGTACATCCCCCTTCCTTTTTCCTTTAAGAAACTGTCACAGAAGTCACTAAAAAGCAACACGCTACAAGTCTCTAATATTATAGCAAGACGAGAATTGATTTATTTTTCCATTTTCCTGAAATACTTTTATTGGGTGTAAAATTGATTACCTTGAATGAATTATGAAGTAAGACATCACGTTTCATGAAAAAGAGTCCGTGGTGACACTAAACCGTTTTTGTGAATAAATTTCTGCCCAACTTGAAAGGCATAAACCCCAACCACTGAGAAAGTAAGAGCCTGGTAGTAAACAATTAATAATGGTATCCTGAATATCAGAGAGTAAAGTCTTAATGAGACAACTAAATTTCATTTAGGCATAGGTAGAGCTTCTTTCTCTTAATTGTCCTTCTGTGATTTTAATGTTAAGATTTTCTTTTATTTGTCCTTCTGTGATTTTAACGTTAAGATAAAAACTGTCCTTGTAAATGACAATGAAATCTATCACTTCAAATAATATACAGGTTGCAAGCTTTACATTCCAAAATATTCCTCTTCTGATGTCATACAGATCAGTATAGAATGAAAGGGTTTAGAGTTTACCTCTAGAATAGTAACATTGATGGCAGCTGATGTTTCTCCTTCTTCCAAGGTCAGTGAGCCAGAAACAGCTATATAATCAGCTCCTGGTTCAGCCAGGGCCCCTTCTGTCTGATTACTTAAGGTGAGCAATCCTGGAACTGTGGCATACGTAACGTTGATAGCACCTGTTCCATTTGTGACAAAACAAAAAAACAAACAAACAACAACACAACAACCTTTTTCAATTCTTATATAACACTCACTGGAATAGACAAAGAAAAGAGATCAAATGCTCATCCGCAAAATGAAAAGCCTAACTGTAAAACAGAAGGATTAGAAGATTAATCTGGAGCCAATGGACCTTTGTTACTCTTTTTAATGTGCTCTCAGTCCAGCCTTTAATGATTTGTCCAGCATCACAGGACTCAAAAAGCATCAGGACCAAATGTATTCAGATATTTGAGGTGCCGTGGACTGCAAATGTTACATGGCTGAAGTACTACCCGGGACATCTAATTTATTATTAATATCGGGTTTGGTGCCAAGGGAAGTAGAATGTTTCAGGAACGACTGATACCTAAGAAAGGCACTAAAGGCAGTGCTGGAAAATAACGGTTTAATAAATCTAGTCTCCTTCCCAGGCACATTAACATAGACTTCAATAAAGAATAAAAATTAGGGGACACATTGGTATATTTTACCAAGGGAAAAAAAAATTGACAATTTTTTTATAATAAAGCCATGTCTCACTGATCTGCCAGGGTAAATCAAGTTGCAAATTTAAAGAGAGTCATCCTGGAGATAAAATGACAGAGGAAATTCAAAGCTAGTCTATATGAAATAAAATATAGAGTACAAAAGAATCTCAGCTTTAATAAATAATGATGGACTTTAATTTAAGTAAGAGATCTTATATTTATTATGGATTATCATAAAGCATTAGTTTCCTGAGTAGTGCTCCAAAAGTAAATTAGATACTGATTGATATTAAAAAAGAAATGGGTAAACCTTAAAATGCCTCTACAAATCTGTGGTGTGTCCAGATATTGAATATTCATTGTAAATGGTCACTTCACTTCCAAACAGATACAACAAAGGAAACTAAGAGGAATTACCAGTGAGGTCTAAATATAGTCTAAAAAAGTAAATAGGAAATGATTACTCATGTTATGTCACAATGTAAGTTGAAAATCTCGGGCAACAAACATAAAAAATATTTTGCACACAGCACATTAATGAATTCTGAAATTAAGCAGCACTTAATTTTATGGATGTTGATAGACAAATTGATTTTGAAAGGAACAAGAAATTCTCAGAGGAGACATAAACTGAATTCAGTGATCTGAATGCAACTTTTACCATGGGACATTCCTAAACTCCCAACTTCTGGAAGTTTAGAGGGGAAATACGTGAGAATGATCATTCCATAAAAGCTCATTTTCTCATATGTTTCTAATTTCTTCTGGAGGACTAACACTTTGAGACAGACCCATTAGACATAAAGCTAGTAACCCTAACAGCCTACTAGCTACGTCACAGCTCACACACTCCTTGCTGTGGAAATGAGGGCTATGGCTCCAGTTTTAATTAATACTTAGTTTCTAAGCCTGCAGTAAGAAGCCTAGAAATTCTGAAGGTAACAACTGTATCCAATATCTTTCAAAATTTCCAGCCTCCCTGTCATGGCTTTCATTTGCCTAAAATTTACGAAAAAAGAACTTCATTTCTCTTGGAGTTGTTATACAAACCTAGAGATCCAAATTCTCTGTTAATAAAAAGCTGAACCGTTTTGTTTTCCTCTGGAATTAAAACTACCCTGGATGGGGAAGCAAAATTCAAGACTCCATGTGGTTCATCGCTAGCTTCTACTGTCAGAACAGCTTCATATCCTTGACTATCCAAAACAGCAGCACCTGAAGAAGAGACTCCTAAAAAAGAATAAATGGACTACAGTGAATCAAGTGTTATCAACTGATTTATTTTTATATTACTGCTGCTATTACATCCAAATGACAGTAACAGTGAAAATGAAATTAAACCTAACACATGGTGTGCTCTCTGAAGTTTATTGATGGTGTGGAGTGCATACATATTTACATTCAATAACAAATACAGGAACACACAATCACAACAGAAATTATATACATACAAAGTATAGAGACATAAAAATGTATTAAGAAATGACAAAACTTAACGGGCCAGTGCTGAATACCAACTTCCCTAAACTTTTATTTAAAAGGAAAGCAAAAGTTTTCCCAGGAATTAACTCCAAAAATTAAAATTATATTCAACTTCTCAATCGTTCCATTAAGGAATTACTCCCTTTTCCAAGTTTTGCCTAGGTAAATAATTGTTGGTGTATTAATTTATGCTTATCCTGATGGATTACAAGATTACAAGAGCCAACCAATGATCGTGGCAAGTTGGTAAGGCACCTATCAGCAACACAACGTATGTCAAGTTAGTTTGGTGTTTTGACGTTAATTTCAGTTAAACAAAGGGTCTTTTAGAGGGATGTAATTTCATGCTTCTTTTTTCATTATAATTTGAATGGCAAGAATAAAATATTCTGACCTCCTGGAATTTAGAGACAGATCAGAAAGTCAGCTTGCGGCATGACAAGTTTGCTTTAAAAGATGAAAAATATCTGCTTATTTCATGGCAGCTGTATCCAGAACACATTAGTATGTTCAAGTTTGTATTCAGTTAAAGGGAAGAAAATAACCACTGAATCAAACAGGTAGAGTCAAATAAGGTTTAACATCAATTAAGGAAAACTGCAAAGACACTGTGGGGTTTGTTTATACACACACACACACACATATATATATATACGTGCACACACTCACATATGCACACATAAAGATCAATCCTGTTTCAAGAAACCATGAAGGAACTCTGTATAGTTCACACCAGCTGCAGAATGCTTAGTCCTATACTTCCAAAATGGTTTAACACATATGAAAATATTACACTACCAAGTGGTAGTTTTAAGATATAGCAGGCTGTAGTTCTGCCCTTACCTTCTGTTTTGATGTTGTATAAGATGATCTGGTATTCTTCTTTTTCTTCAGGAATGTGGTCATCCAGCAAGTGAACGTACAGGGTTGCATTCAGTGTCTCCTGTTCATTTTATTGATAAACCCATTAGTCATTATTCTATAAAATGCAAGTGATACCACTGTATCATAATGTATTTTGAACATCTTTAAGAAATGTAAAGTATCAAAAACTAAAACTCTCTCCAATTTAGAACTCCAAGAGTAGAGCGAGTGAATAATCAGATCAAGAATCAAATACTGCTATAAAAGCATGCTCATTTTCTCAGCTCAGTTCTTATGACAATATTCTTCTGTAGCCATTAGCTTTGCTTATGGACTTACCTCAGGAAAAAAGAGTATTCCAGAATAGTTTTCAAAATTTTGTTTTACATTATGCCCAACTATCTTCCATTCAACAGTAACATTTCCCAGTCCTGGAGCAGTTCTTACAACATGGAACTGTAGTTGTTCTCCTAGGAACAAAGGATAACATGTAATATTTTGGGGTGTCCCCTCCTACATGTCAATGATAAAAATGAGAAGCCAAAAATATGAACCACACTTAAAATAATTTTTCTGAAAGACATTAATATTTTTAATAGTGAGCTTCACAGCAGTCATATAACAAACACATTTGATTGTAATCCTGAAATAAAAAACCCAAACCTAAACTCTTTCCTCCTGGGTTTTGCTGGTTTTAGTTCACTCTTGAAAAGAACAATCAAAATATGAGTGAACCTGGTACAGATCAGTAACACAGAAAGTAAATGCCATCAAAACATGCACAAACAGAAGAGCAATACCTGTCTGTGAACTACAGAAAATAGTAAATGCTGCACGTACCAGCTATAACACAGTTTTCCAGCTAATGGGAAAGTAATGTACTTTCCCCTAACACTTGCAGTGTCTTGCAACTTTACATAGTTCATGGAGAAAAATGCTTGTAATCACCCATAGGTTCCATTTATGTGAGTTTGAACTTAGAAATAATCATCAGCGTTAGGAAAGAAAACATCCAGAAAATGTTGATATTTAATAATGTATAATTCAATAAATAAAGTATTGAAAACAAAAACATTCCTATTTAATAGTTTTTAATTTTAAAAAATTTAATTTTTTAACCATTTCTTATAATTTCTGGGATAATCAGCATCAACTGACAATGTGCATCTCTAAGATGCAATCATGGTATTTTTCACATTCATAACATTTAACCCAGTGGGCACTTTAATTAGAGAGCATAAACTCCTTAGAAATCTTTGTAAAATTCAGAAAATTTATATAATATTAAGTATTTACATAAATCCATAAAATTTATGTAGTTTATATAGTATTATTTCAAATATGGGACGTGAAATTAACATATCAGTATGAAATAGACCAGCAGGTAAAATCAGAAATATTGTGCAATACGTTCACATTAGAGGGCAACTGTCTATCTAAAATATATAAGTGTATTGCACCCATACATCAGCAGTGTTTTTCGAGTGCATGGAATTTGATTTTGCCCGTATGTACGGTGCTGAGTTGTCTTTCAAACGCACTACATATGCAGAAATCTGTAACGCTGACTTGCTTGGAAATAAAACATGAGATTTCTTTTGCTTACTCAAGAATGAACTAAACAAATTTTGTGGAGATGTATTTAGTGATTCAGAAACAGAAATCTGACAGACTAAGTTCCATCCCCAATTGAGTGAAAAAGTCTTTACTAGTATTGCTATAAACTGAATTGAATTTTTTTCACTGTTGTGAAATCTGGGGAAAATTCCATCTTCTAATTTGCGTTATGTACATATTCAGAAGCAACCCTATTGAGAAACATTGAGATACATCTGCAAAACCGAAAGAGAAGATGTGTTGTGTCACTTCTTATTCCATGGCATAAGGAAATGAGGAAATGAGCAGCACAGCTAGTCTCTCTGATTACATAATTTAAAGAGCATCAAGTTAGGATGCTATGTGGCTATTCTAGTATATTATAGTGCTATATAATTTGTATTGTATTGCTAAAACTGCCAGGAATAATTTGAGTATTTTATAAACATTTTTTTTGGTAAGGAAATATTAGAGAAATACACATATATTGGCTACCAATCGGAGAGATATGAACAACGAATTTCAAGAGACCTTAATATCATTAATTAAAATTTAAAATTCTGAAGTAATACAAAATTTGTATACACCTATTTTCAAATAAATAGATTAGCATGTGTTATTTAGCCTCCACATTTCAAACTTCAGTTAAGCCTAGGGGATGTACCAATGTTCATATCTTTTGTCTTAAGTTGTTTCATGTTGATTCTAAGAGAATAAAAGAATTTAAAATTTACTGACATCACAAGGATTCTGCCTCTACAGTCAGATATCTGAGGACAGGCTGACAGTTTACAGGTTGTCCTGTGGCTAATTTATCATACTGTTTAACGCTGCACTGAAATCCATCCTATCCTATTTGAGAATTTTGCACATTCATTAGAAACAAATGAATATTTAACAAAAAAAATGGTTACTTTAGTAAAATTGCAGAACGCATAATTTAAATAAAGCTTATTTTAATGCAAATTATGTAATACAATTAATTTTCACTGAAGACTAGGACAAAATGCTTTATGATGCAGAATCCTGTTACACTCTAATTCAAACACTAAGAAGAAACCTGGAGTACAATTCATCATAATTACAGATGCCAAGTAGTTAATTACTGAGCCAGGCTTCTTGGTCAGCTTTAACAAAATCTTTGGTATCCCTCTCCAGAAAGAAATACTAAGTACTAAATGATTTCTGAAGATTGAAAGTGTTATTAGGCTAAATTCTTTTTTTTTGTTTGTTTTAAGTTTTTAAGTATTTAACCATGTTATCCATATCTTTAGATTTCTATTTATCAGGGAGAAGGATGGGGCCTCAGCCATCTTCCTCTTCTTCCTTATTTCAAGCTACTGAAGTGCATTTTCCTCTAATACAGTCACAGCCACACGACTGTTGCAAGCCTCTGCCTGTACTAAAATGCTACCCTTGCCCTCAGGAAGGTGGTAAATAATATACAGAGCTTGAAAATAACACAGATTTTCTTGACAGATATTGTTTAATAATACAGTAAATATAAAAGATAATCATGTTTGGATTTATGTCTGACAAATTTTCTTTTCAGAACAAAAAACTTGATACTGAAAATGAAATACAAATACTGCAGTATTTGTATTCATTCTTTTTTTTTTTTTTTTTTTTTTTTTTTTTTTTAATCAAAGGGAATTAGTTTGGTTGAGTTTTCATTCTCTAAGACAATGCATTGCTTTGCACAAGCTGGAGGAGTTGGAATCAAGTAATTTCCAAACTAGAGTATTTCAGGTCCAAATGGCCAGCATTTGTTAGCATGCTATGAATAATATTTAACCAGTGGAAAGCATTCAGGGTCATCATAACCTTTGGGAATGAGACAGTTTGTATTAATTCTTTGTGCCCATTAACAACTCTTAGCCTGTCAGATTGCAGATGGCTTGGCAGGTGGATCAGAACTGTTAACGGGGAGAACAAAGAACAAAAACTGGGCACACACCAGCACAGCATTAACAGAAACCATATCTAGATTTTTATTTTTTTTTTTAAAAAAAAAAAAGGTTATGGTGTCCTTTCATTTCTGGAAAAAAAACAGAACACATTTGGCTGAGAAAGGCTTTTTTCTTCAAACATAAAATGCCATGCACAATTCCTGAATAGCAAATTTCTGTTTCGTTAAATCTCCCTGCCCATCAGTTTACATGTTGGAGATTCCAGCAAAGGCTGCCAAAAGCAATCGCCATTGGTACTGATATTATCCTATGCAAAACTGCATCAAACCTTAGATCATCATGCTCTTTTAAAGCACCAGTAGAAACCTTTGGTCCATATCAAATTATTATTGATCTTTCTCAAATGTCATGACTGAGTGATGACAGCAGGATTGAAACATTCTTAAATTAGATACTGTAAAAAAGCATAAACAGAAAATTTTAAAATAGCAGGTTATTGAGCCAGGAAGAGGGAAGTTGTGATCCTAATCTTCCTGGGGGAATATTTTCTAGAAGATTTAAAGTGAATTGTAAGTCACTGATCGATGAGATTTGCTTGTGACTACTAATATGTGTATGATGGGCATTATATACAGTTCTGGAATGTGGTGTGAATGAGTAAGACAAGAAATGATAAAAGGAGCTTTGAAACTCAATACCAATAGAAGCAAGACATGATCTTCAGAAAAAAGGAAAGCGGAGATGACGACACATGAAATGGCTTTAGAAACGGTGTACCTTTTCCACAGATTTCATTTCAGTGCTACGCTTTCGAGAGTTAAAAATTCAAAGAAACACATGCCAAGTATTTGGCTATCTTCTCTCTGCTGCCATTCCCTGAACAGTGACACCACCAATCCCTGAGAGTCACTATCAACAGGAGTCAGGGGGACGAAAGCTAACGTTAAACAGAGGGTGGTCAGCACAAAGAACCCACCTTCACGCCCAATAACAGATCTTGAGGCTGTCTGGAAGCTAATAATTCCTGCCACATTGTCACTTGCCAGAATAACCACTGTAACAGTGTCAAAGCTGGGCAGAATCCGACTCCCGCCTTCAGTATGGACCAGGCTGACTATGATACTTTCATTATCCTCTGGCTCTGGATCATCTAAAATCGTCAGCATGACCGTTTTTTTTGTTTCCCCTACAAGGAGAAGAACATATCGATACTTATGTGTGTACATGCATATCCCCTTTTGAAAAGACTTCATCATCTCCTTTTGTAGGAAATACTTACAAACGTAAAAAAGGACATGAAGCATATATAATTATTTACCTGTCTAGAAGTTAACCGAATATCATTATGAAGTTTTATTCAATTTCTATTGAAAGGTGACGTTAGGGCAATGTAATTACCAAATTATTAAAGATGCAGTGTAGCAATGAACAATGCAGGCATAATTTATGAATGTCTAGAATTCTTTATTTGCATTTTAAATTCTCTGAATTTCAAATTTAACTTAGAAAAGGAGAATATTCTCGTTAAAAAAAAAGTTACTAAGTGTAAAAGTTCTCTGATTAATTATATGCACAAGTCTGTCTACTCAATTTGAAACTATTCACTGGGCCAGGGAATACATTAAAATAGGCTGCCATTGTGTTAATTACTCATCTTTTGGACTATCAAATGATCATGTAAACAGCAAATGCAATCAGTTACCAGTGTCTATAATCCATTATAAATTACAACACAATCCTGTTGGCTCAGTGCATGTGTATAACCTGTGTTTTAGGACTATGAGAATATCAGTTTACAAGATACACCTATTTCTTGATATATTTTATTTCAATATATTTTGAAAACCATTTTTACTAAACTTATAACCAGTAATGTAATTGCATTTCAGCCTCAGAATCACTGCTGGCAACTCTCCTTTTGTGTTCAGATGGTTTAGCTAGCTAGCACACTAGAATTTCCACTACACTCTCATATATTGCTTTCAAAATAGCTGTTCAATAAACTCAGACGTTGAACAGATAGAATATATCTGTCAGTAATGTCTGCCATTGATTTGTTCATCCTGTCTTCAATTTAATTTTTTTTTAATATGCTGTTATGTTCCATTATGAAATCAGTACAATCTCAGAATCTAGAAAGAGACATAATGAAAAATTAGCACCATACTGACTGAAGGTTAACAAAAGATTGGTTAGGTCTGATTCTCATTTTTATTATCCTTGATGTAACAACTATCTTCAGCATTATTATTCCTTATTTATTTGGTTAAAAGGTAATCTTTATAATGGACACTGCAGGATTTCTTTAAAAAATACTTAGGTTTTTATTCTTTTCACCTTTTTGTGTTCTGTTACCACTGCGTGTGTTCTGCAACATAGTGCTATGTGCTAATGAACTCTATTCTATTGAATATGTATCCTGAGCATTCAAGGAGGTTTAATCTAAGAATAAGACATCACTTATCAAAATGTCCAGAGGATTGAGTGCTCCTCAGGTTCCTTTTGCTTTTCTTTAGTTTTATAAAACAGAAACTAGTGCAAAACTTTGCCTCACCTTCAGCGAACACCAGAATCTCACCAACGCCTACAAAATCCAAGTTTGGGGTAGCAGTTCCACCAACCACACGCCATTCCACTGTCACCTGTCCCAGGCTGCCTTCTGTCCTATGCACCATCAGCTGCACATTGGTCTGAGGACGTTCTTCTACTTCAATATACCGACCTTTCTCTGTCGCATTGGGACTTACGCTGTAGATCTTAAACACTCCAAACGCATCACCGTTCATCATTATGATAACTGTGGAAGTATTTGGCTGTCCTATAGTTGGTTGGTTTTTTAAGCTGGCTGAGATGTTCAATAGTTCAACTTTTAAAAGGGATATAGTGAATTTCTCATCCAACTCTGGCAGACTGTCAGGGAGTATGGTAACTGTGAGATTTGCAAACTCTTCCCCTTCCTGCATTATGGCCCACTGTCTTGTAACAGATTCATAATCACTACCAGCGATGGCTTGTGTGCTAAAAAGAGCAGATGCACTGGTGATGTTTTTCTTGTAGGACCAGAATCCTGCAGTGTTAGTTAATGGGCTGATCTCTGATGTCAGCCAAAGGCAGAGAGGAGTCTCAGAGGCACTGGAAAATGTAAAGGCTGTACACGCTTGTTCTTTTAGGCACTGAGTTGCACAGGCATACAGTGGGTCACTTGCTGCCGACACGTTCACTCTGGTCTTGGATGGTTGGTCAGGAATTCCTTGAAGAGGAGACTCATAGAAGGCCAGGATATCCTGACCTTGCTCAATGGCAAGAGCTACGACATCAGTCTCAGAAGTGCTGTAAAATATCTGCAGCTGACCAAACCTTCCCCCACTAAAAGACATTAAAATAAAAAGGTAATGTTAGTTGATGAAGTATGTCAAATATTCTGTATGTTTCTGGGTTAAGAATAAAAGTGAACAAAATCAACTGGCCCTTTCTGAACTGCTGAAAAGTTCCAAAGAGCTAATTAAAGCAGAGTCCCTTGAAGACAGCACCAGAATAACTGAGCTGACGTTTTTTTGTGGATAGCAAGTTTGATTATTTATAGCTTGAGTAGCAGGCTGTTAAGAATGCATGTTTGCAAACATTTGTTTCTAGGAATTAACTTAGTCTTGTTAAGGATAGCGAGGGAGAAAAAGCCTGTGCTACCCAACCCTGTCACCTTTCCTCCTAGGCATCCTCAGGATATCCCATTACATGCATAAAACCTGTTTTCCTTTTCTTGTTTCTTTCCATCCCACAAGGGTTGACCCATTTTGTCCTCCAGTTCAAATCACAGGGGCAAGCTGTTGGGCAGCTTTAAATTATTTGACCATTAAACAGAAAAAATGAAACTTCAAGCACACTACGTACATCAGTTGTACATTACAATGTATATGACCTTTAAGTACTTTATGTACAGTTCTAATAAGGAGACATCCAGTTCAAAAACAATGTGTGTGAAATAACAATGTGTTGAGCTGGCAGATCAAGAACTTGATACACTTATACAAGAGGAGCATGACATTTGAAATTATAGTCAAGACAAACAAACAAAAAAATAAGATATATATAAAGCAAACATTATACAAACCTTCGCCTGACTGTTATATTTGCAAGCAAATTTCTTTCTAGTGGCTCCTGAATTCGATATAAGGATTGATGAAAGAAAACTGTGCCATAAGGATTATCATTGGCAGGTATTATAATATTTGCCACGCCATCTAACCCAATAGCACCACCATTGGAGGCCTGAGTTAATTCTACATGGACAATCTCAAAAAGAAAAAAAAAAAAGAAAAAAGAAATAATGCAGCTAAACAATTTTTGGTATTTCTAACAATAATCACAAGCAAAGTAAAATCTGAACTTCTTGCACCTTCCAGCCAGAACATTCCTTGTTTTAATTTGCGCATATTTCTATAGCAAGTTATAACTCTTAATGCTACTCAAGAAAGATGTAACTGCTTTACTTACTTCGTCTATTTCTGGGACATCGTCAGCCAGGATTTCCAACAGCAACATCTGAATGGCTTCCCCAGGGGCAAAAGTAATATTACCCAAGGCGACCTGCAAGTCATCATCAGCAGGATGTCCGTTAATGGTAGCAACCCACTGAACAGTAACATTACCAAGTGTCCCCGCGTTGCGGATTATTGGCAGGTTTACGGTTACTGATCCAAACTCGGGCTCCTCCACAGTGAATTCAGTAATCTGAAAAACTGAAGTACAGCACAGAGAGACGTATTTCATTAACAATGAAACTGAAAGTAAATGCATCAGCTCCCAAAGTACATCAATTTATTACATTTGATTGCATGTACTTGCACAAGTAAATCACTTTTAATCAGGTTTAATTTTAAAAGCAAACCTTCACTATTAAGATTTTCACCTGCAGAGGAAATTAGCATGAAAATTAAGATCTCATCCAAAAAGTTTATTCCAACACGTCCATTGTTGGAGACAAACCATGAACTGTTTCTAAGCTCTTAGAAGACTTAGAATTATGAATAGTTTCATAATTATTTCCAGCAAGGAGATTCTTTAGCAGCTTTCATGTCACTTACTAAAGAAATAAATCAGTGTATTCCACCTAAAATTGTTTCAAGTAAAAGTCTTCCTCATATTAAACTTTAAGTCTTTAAGAATTAATTGATTACCCATCCAGAATTATTTATTTTTGACATTTTTTCTTTCTTTCCTCTACCTTATTCCACTGACAAAATGGAAGAAAAGGAATGATGTAGTTTACTGAAGGGAGAAAAGGGTAACTCAAAGGAAAAGGCAGGAAAAAAAAAAAAAAATCAACCCAACAAGCAAAAAAGATTTCTAAAACATCGTTACACTTTTGAAATCACCACAACTCTTCTCAAAACCTGCATAATGAAACTAGTTTTGGAAAGTATACACAATTCATTTTATTAATAATAACAGGTAGAAGAAAAACTAGAGTACTTGACAGAAAATAAGAGAATGTAATTTAATTTCTCTTCATATTTTCCAATTTCCCCCGGTTTGTACATCTGCTTTGGCTGATTATCTAGTGAAAAGAAGATACCAAGTTGTATAATGCAGATTTTGGCTTAAAGCTATTGCAGAAATGAAGCCCATAAAATAAATTAAATTTTAAAAAGTAAATCCATCTATCTTTATTGGTAGATTCCAAAATCTTGCAATATCTTTTTTTTTTTTTTTTTTTTTTCATGTTTTAATTTGGTTTGCCTTATCTTTTCCTTTACTGTCATCATGCAGGCTTCCTTTTAGTCTTCTGAAAGTTTTCATTCAGTTGCCCAGTAACAGCTCAACCCCAATCTGCAGTAAAAATGTTAAGAAGAGAGAAAATATGCAAGCAAGACTCATTTACCAAAGGATCCAAATGGGTCATCAGAAGCCTCAATAGTTATGATTGCTCTAGTCAAAGATCCAAGCAAGGCTCCTCCTGTTGTTTGATTCAGCAGCTGAACATAAAATGATTCCTCAACTTCAGGATTGATATCATTAATTATATAAATTGGCACAGCTTTACTTGTTTCTCCTTCTAGTAAGACAACATCTGATGAGGCTACACTGTAGTCCTCACCTAGATTTGTAGATGAAGAAAAACCAAACAATAAAAAATGCAGAATATTAATGCATTATGGTTCAGTGTATTGAGCATCATCAGTAATACTTAATCTTCTCTTTTTGCTTACACATGCATTCCTCCATATTTTTATGGGGTTTTTTCTTTATCTTCAGATCCAGACAACACAGTCTTTTTTTATTTCCACTTGTCTTTTAGACATCTGGATGGATTAAAATAAAACTCAGCTTGGCCAAAACAGAGTTTCTACTGTTAGACCAAGAGGAAGTTACAAAAGGTCCATTATTGTCTTCCATTGAGAAGGTCACGATACCAAGATGTTTCTGTCTTTGATTTCTAATTGCTGTCTGACTTTCCAAGAGATAAAAGCGAACAGAAGCACCTTTGTCAAAGTAAATTTTAGTAAAGAGCACGTTTTGTGTGTGGACCTCACTTAGGCAAACATCTCAGAACGTCTAGATGACCAACTGTGATAAATTAGATAACAGCTCTGCTTCAGAAATTAATGGAAAGCATACTCTGACATCCATCTAGCTACACTCTTATTTGGAAAAGTCTGTTACATAAAAAAGGGAACTAAAATACCAGTTCTCAGAGCATGTGCTACCCACCTATTCAATTCCGGACACAACTGAAATACAGTGGGTTTGATTTATAACTGTCTAGAGGTTATGACCCTGCACACTTCATGAGTTTGCTCCTTTCTTCATGTGTCGTCTCAATAGCAGGGACCAACTAGAGAACTTCACCTCCCATTTTTAGAAATTCAAGTTTTCCTGGGCTTTGATTGTTTTTTTGACAAACTGGTTTTACAGATGAATCTCCAGGTCTAACTTCCTCTCCAGTAAGCTCACCTAAACAATGTGTGGTGGGTTTAAATATGTAACCAGGAGTAAACAGTAGCTACATATACTGCTGTAGTATTTTAAAATTATTATTTATTTTCTTTTTTTGAAGAGGTGGTGGGCTACTAGGGAAACAAACACCCCCATTCCTTCAATCATTTCTCTTGCTACATTCCTCAGTGATAAGTCTCAAAGCTTTCTAAAAGCTGATGCATGATCTATCCCATAGGGATTGGATTCCTATCTGTTAAACTGAGTCAGTAAATATCCCACTGGTTTTGGTACTTGTTACACAATAGTGCATTCAGTATACACTTTGTTTTGACTGCTCAAAGCATACAGGATGATCTTTCCACTTTTAACATAGACGGGATACTTCTGCTATTCTGATTTCTTACCAGCTGTTGCAGTTATTGGCATAGCTTTAAATTTCACAGAAACATCTGCAAATAATCCCCCAGTTCTGGTCACATTAATGATTGGTCCAACATAATTTTCAGCAACTCGCACAGTTGAAGCTGACAGCTGAAGTGTTCCAAAAGCATCATCATTGGCATTTATAATTACATGAGCTATTGTCTCACCCACTAATCCAAGTCGAGGAGAATTTACAACTGAAACAAAAAGAAAACTCAGTGAGGGGGTGCCCGAGACATTTGTTGTCTATGGCTGTAGAGTTCACAGGCATACATGTGAGTTTAGTGTTTAGACACCACTATATTTCAACAAACTTATCTTTTTTAGAATGGGATAAAGTATAACTATAAACTGCACCAACATACTTTTAGTGTTTGAATTATATTATGGCAGAAAAATCCTGATTTTTTATAACTTATTATTCTACCCTGCTGTAGAGCATACAAGACATAATTCTTTTGAAGAGGTGAGGCACTGTGAAAATATTTACTTATTTGTCCATAAGGCCAGGAGTAAGATCAATGCCATTCAGAGGAATTTCATTTTTGCATTTGCTATGATGAAATCTAAATAATGTTTCAACCTCCCAGCAGAATTATATTTGAAGTTTCCCTTAACATCAAGACTAATCTGGAGCAGGGGCAGCAGTTAGACATGCCAAGAATCTCGGAAGCACAAATCAGTCTGTAGCGACCTGTATGAGAGATGAAACAAACATTCTCTACACTAAAAAAGCAACACGCAAGTGTAATACTACACCAGTTAATTTTTAAAAGACTTTTTTGGCTTTCAATGAGCAAAACTAGATTAGTTATTTCCTAATAATGAACTTTACAGAAACAGCACTAGACTAGCAGGTATTAGTGCATAAAACCAATATTGTAACGTATTTGGCCTGAAAGACCTTGGACAAGGTGATACAAAAGGAATAAAGAAATGATCGTCCATCCCTGACAAAATACTGTGCTAAAGGAAATATATGCCAATAGCATACAAGGCAGGTAACCAAGAGATTTTTTTAACCATAGAGAGCCTGCCAGAGGTAAAAAGCTTGTAACTTAACTTCTTGCATTTTATTCTACTAAATATAAATACTAGCCTTCTTATTTAAATTGCAGGTTTTACGTATGTGAGGTACTTACTTGGCCGATCCTGTACTTTCTCGATCAAAACAATACTGCTTAGCTCCACAAAAACAGATTCTGACCTCTCAGGATCATCATCGTCCAAAATAGGCAAAGATATTATGGCCTCACTTTGATTGGCTGTGAAGATCGTGTAACCTGTAATGGGTAAGTAATCTTTTCCCTCTATTGCTCTAACAACATCAGGTGGAAGAAACGGCGACTTTTCATCATCGCCGATAGTTCTGTACGTCACCATTACTGTACCCAGGAGACCACCACGCCTTATTATCGTCAGGGAGATATTTTTTGCTTCTTCCTCAACTTTTATTGGTCTGTTTTGCTCAGAAAACATGAAGACTCCATATGGATCATCATTAGCTAAAATAGTTAACGTTGCATTAGTATGATTTCCAAGGCGACCACTGGAGACGTTGATGATCAAAACCGAAAACACCTTATCCAATTCAGGAACTTCATCAGGAGAAACCTGTACTGTAATATTTGCTCTCGCTTGGCCAACATCAAACGTTACATTCCCATCTGTAGACATGAGGTCTTTGGTAGGATCACAGACTATCATCCAATGCAGTGTCACCTGAGATAAGGCCCCATGCGTTCTCACAACCTAAGTGAAAAATATAAAGATCTGCATATTTTTGTTCTATGAGAAAGAAAAACATAAAAGTATGAGATGGAATTAAACAAAGACATTGACATGATGGGTTAAAACTAAATCTGTGTTTTAAAAAAACAGTGTAATATTTATTATCTCAGGTTTGCTGTATTTGTTGTATCAACACGGTTATTTTAAGATTGTAGTACCTCAAATGTAAACAAGTAAAAGTAATTTTAAACCTGTGGGTATTTTTATTATTATTATTATTATTATTATTATTATTATTATTATTATTATTATTATTATTATTGTTATTATTATATTTTAGCTTCAGTCTGAATGATACACAATAGAAAACTCAGTATGAAACAGCAAAGCAGATGTGCATGATAAAGTTGTTTCAAACCCTACAGATTTATGGCAAAAACATTGCAGAATGCCTGGTAAAAACAGAGACTGCACAGCAACAGGAGACTCAAAGCTTTCTAACCTGCAGCACAATACTGCTATCTCCATCTTCAGGCTCAGTTCCGTTTACCGAGAGTGACTCAGTACTGAACTCAAACACACCGTGAGCGTCATCAGAAGCTTCAATAGTCACAAGGATGTGGGATGCAATTCCCAAGCTAGCTGTTAAATGCAAGTTCCAAAAAGGGTTACTTTTTCTAGCATCTTTTCGTACGTGAAAAGAAAACAGCTACAGAAATAAGTTACAAAAAATGCAAAGGGGAGCACAACTGGAGTATCCGTGCTGTTTTGTCTTTGTTGTTTTGAAATGCATGGTAACTATTCACATGGATAAGGAACTGACTTTCACTTATGCAGTCCTGGCAGCCCTTCTATGGAACTATGTAACAAAAAATATAATAAAATATGAATGCTTTAAGGGGGGAACAAATAAAAATATAGGTTTAATGAATGAAAATTTATGATGGTGGGGAGTTATATGGTTGACCGCAGTGCAAGCAGATAGACCAGATGAATGCCGGTCTCATCCTAACATAAGCTGGAATGAAAAAGCAAGTCCAGTAAATCCTGCTACTGAAAGGATTGTCTTGGGTGAGATAACTTGCTTCTCAGAGAGAGAAAGAACCTGGCACTTAAGAAAACAATTTCTAGAAAGAAGGAAAAGGGAAACAGCACTTCAAAAAAACCCAGGAAGCTCCAAAAAGCGGCTATACCACAGACTTACTCTCAGATTCAAAATTAAATACTTTACATTTACAAATAAAATTTTAAAAAAATCAGGCTGTCATGAGGGAATAAATTATTCAGTTTGGATAATGGCTGCTCATATAACACTTCTAGGTCTGTAGGGTTTAATTTGAAGTGCTACAGGATTAGGATTTTCCCTCAGATTTTATGTCATTTCTGCATCTAGTATTTTTTAAATTTTCTCAATATTAAGCTATCTTTGTTTTCTGTATGTCATGACATAAATACGAACTTAAAGAGAAGAACTTAAAAACAATCAAAACATTCCTTTAAAAAATCTAACACAGCTACTTTTCAAGAGCTTTTTTGACATGCAGGGAATCAAAATGAGATAAAACATGTATCAAAGCATACGATCAGTTTGGGTTTTTTTAAATTATCCTCAATTTAAAAAGTGTCATTGCTTTTTGCTCTCCAGAAAATTTGACAATTTTCAAACAAAATTAATTTTGCAAACTGTACTTCTGGAATGACTATATTGCATTTTACAAGAATATAGTTTTGATTTTATAGAAGCTGTTATTTTCTGTGTTATACTAGACATTGACTGCTATTGAAATTATGCCTAAATTAAAATGGAAAAGAATGTTTTGACAGAACTTTATGATAAATCTAAATCAATCACCTGTAACTGCAAGTAAAATAACACTACGACAAGTCATGTCAGTATAGTAATTTATGATGGATATTACAGTTAGCAATAAGAAAATAATATTAATCAAAAATGCTTACCACGTTGATGGACAGTTGGAAAGAAGAAATCCATGTTCCCATCACCACTACCACTGCCATCATTTCTAAAGAGCTCAGCAACTTTAAGATGACAGACATACAGATATACACACATATATACATTTATAAATAAAGAGAAAGCAGAAAGTAATTTAAACATTTCTGGACAACACAAGAGAGGGAAGTATCTAGGAAGGCATCAATTTTGGATATGAAAGTATAAAGGATTTCTGATAAAAGCCAGAAAAAGTATTGTGTACATCACCTCTTATTTAATTCATGACATTGGAAATAGCAATGGGAGGTCAGAAGGAAAGAAAACACATACACTTCTGTTTGCTCTTTTCTTTCTTTCTTTCCCTCTTTGTGTCCCCTCCTTGTGTTTCCCCTTTCTCGCTCCTAAATGAGGTCCATCATGGAGAACCTGGAAACATGAATCTTAAAAAAAACCCAGAGGCTAAACTCTCCCAAACTTTCTCATTCTAATATTTTCTCACAAAGTGAAAACGTGCCAGAAATTGGGAAAAATCTGCAGAAAGCTTAACTGATGGAGACTTTAACCTAAGTTTTGTGCTTGCAGTGGTGTTAGAAAGGCCAGAATGAGGGTTTGTGTTAATAGGGTATCTGCCTATGAATTACCAAAGTTAGCTGAAAGTGTTTTGACAAAAAAAAAAAAAAAAAAAAAAAAAAAAAAAAAAAAAAAAGTCCACATGCATGAAAGGTCTGAAGTTTTTTATCAAACTAATCACTGTGTTGCATCATAGTGCCACATTCAAGGTAGTATGATAAAACTTCCCAGAAGGCATCATCACACTTGCTTCTCTGCATTGCTTAAAAAAATAACATCAGTTAAAAAGTCACTTCATGGCTGCCAACATTTCTAATTACCTTCTTTCATCCAACTGGCTTTACAATCTCCCTTAAATTTTTTTTTCCAATGGGAACAAATTCTGTAAGGGCTGAGTGGGTTTATGTGGCAGGAGCACTGATGCTCACCATCCCTTGCGAGATTACCACCTCACACCAGGATTTCCGCTGAGTGTTTTTCTTGTTCTTTCACAGTGTTACCATCTACCTCTCCAGCTCAGATAAACTCCCTAGGCCTCTCAACACCCACAGTCTATAAACTGCTATAATCCAGCTGAATAAGTATGAGCCAATGTATCACAATTCCTCTGATTTCACTCGTGGCAGATGAAGAACCCACTTTGGCTGTTTAGGCTTAAGTATTTTATAAATTTTTAAAAATGGAAGATACGTATTTTTTACATTATTTCAATTCTCATTACTAAATGTGAAATTACGCAATGTGAAAAGTGGCAATGGTCTTTAAATAACCTAATGCATAGTAATAGCACACTTTATTTTGGAGCTGGTGGTTTCCTTTCCAGCAATGATTAACAAATTATCCAAAGAACAGCTCTTTCCTAAGAAAAATCACAGCTGTCTAGGGGATGTGGAGGTGTTTGTTTGTCTTTTGAAATAACAGGGAAATTATACACCTAAGAAAGGTAAGATTGTAATGGATGAGCAGAGATCATTAAAATACAACCGATGGATTGATGTATGTGCCTTACCTCCTCCCTCTGGGTTCAACAGCTCCACTTTAAAAGTTTTTTCTAATTCAGGAATAGAATTATCGGTGATGTTAACAGTGATGTACTTGTATCTTTCTCCTGGATGAAATTCCAGCATGCCCACAACAGCCTGCAACATGAAAGACCTTCATATTTTCGTTCAAGTCTAATGTTTTCATCCATATGAAAAAATAAATGGAACCTTGATTTTGTTTGCCTTTGTCAAAACATCTACTTTACTTAAGCTTTTAAAACATCTGATCAATCTTTGTTATGAAAAAAAAAGTCTCAATTTACAGAATTATGAGCATCTCCATTCATCAATATTTTTCTGCACAAAGTTAGACAAGCCAACACCAACACATACAGGTTATTTTGTTGAACACATACTAATCCTAGCATGTACAAACATAATCTTAAATTGTACATGCACCAGTATGCTCATATAAAGTTTGATATACTCAACAAAAATAGCAAATATCCCTTCTTGCTGAATTGACAATTCTCTTAAGAAAAAATACTAAATCAAAACCAGAGGCTTTTCCTAGGAAATACAATGTGCTGCAAAGAAAGGAGGTAAAAGTCAAATAATTTTATATATATACTGTCTCTTATATCTGTTGAGCTAGAA